AATTGAACAGACATGGACAGACAGGCAACCTGAAAACATAATGCCTCCAGCTGTGGCGATCACTGTCGTGGAGGCATAAAAATACTTGTATTTTTCAGCCTCAACTTCATTCAGTTGCAGTATTAGATATTTGAAGTCTTTTATAAACTGAACTACAGCATGGTCTGACATCTGTGGCTTTGTCCTGAAAGGCCCTGGCATCATTAAGGCATGTATTTAGGACATCTGTAGAGGGATTTGGTCTGCTTTGAGAACATCAGGGGACGTGGTCACCTGCAGGTGTCTTGCCTGCCTTTGCTTTTTGATTGGCCATTTAATGTCCTCTTTTGGGTTCCTGCCAAAGTTGATGTTAAGGTCTGGGTCTGCTTCTACAATATCAGGGATTATTTGTGGACAGATCTATTAAGAGATCAGTTGTTTGGCAAATGTTGTTCTTGTTGCATCCTGACAGTGGTTTTCAGCAGGTTTGTGTTCTCTGTCATCTTTGATTTTGTTCAGTTTGTTTTGATTTGTTTTCTTTCTTCAGTATTCATTCTCATTTATTGGTCTCAAATCCTAAAATCATCTTTGCAGCCTCCAAATGATCATACAGTTGAATCAACACTTCTCTTAAACTGTTTGACCAAAAAACTGAGCATTATCACTGTTATGAAGGATTTATTGCAGGTCTGTTCTATTAGTTTTTCCTAGGTGTACCTAATAAACTGCCAACTCTGGGTGTATATATAGAGAAACAGTGTAGGTGTGGCAGGTTTCCAGACACCATCATCACTACATCAGTATTAGTTCCCAGACAGTATTAGCTTTGGACTGATCATACATTTACACTTCCCGTTAACCCAGATTTCACAGCACAGCAGCGACAACAAGCACATTAAGCAGCACAATGAATCAAATGCACCAGGAAACCTGGATGATGTGTGAACTGTTGATTGCAGCAGCCATATTGTAATGGTACTGTGAGTACAGACATTATTTACAGCCATTATTGACATCAGCAGAAATAAGGTGACGCTCTCTAATTTACAAAAAGACTCTGATTCACTCCTAGAAAAGATCTCCAGAAATGTTTGCGGACAACCAACCAAACAGCTCCGTCAAAAGAGTCGTTTCTTCCATTGTCAAATATGTTACATCCATAGTTGTGGGAAATTCAGGTGTTTGTACAACAGGAACTTGATCTTATGCAATAAATAGTATCAAAATAAGTGAGAGGTATAACATTTGTTCAGTATCTTTAAGCTCAGAACAAGTCTGAGATGTGAACCTCTGCTTACTTCCCATCTTTGTATAACAACTGCATGTTTTACCTGCTAAAAATTTGAACATTGCAGCTGGCACTCATCACATAAATGGATGATAAGGACTCTAGAAATGAACTTTTCATGCACACTTGGTGTAAACTGATTGGTGAATCTAGCCAAGACAGATTTGAAAAGGACCGTTTTTGATCAGCTTAAGGTGAAGGCTGTCCTTCTCGCGTCATCCATTTCTTTCCTTTATTTATGATTTATGATTTATTTTCCCTGGGTTTTTTTTTCCTGCTCTGTCTTCTCAGGGACTTGAGCAATGAGCTGGTCATGAATATTTGGGGCTGGACAGCTGGCTCACGTGTTGGGCGCACACACTTGCTCTTGTACGCCTTGTGTTGCCGCCTCCGAGGCTGTCCCTGAGAAGTGATTGCTACGGTGCCAGCACAACACAAAACCCTTGAAATATTTAAACATCAGATCATTACTGCATTTATCATGCAATTATACACCCTCATTTCATTTCGGTTGTTTGTGCGTGAACACGGATTGATTTTCAGTGTTTCTGGATATACAGTATGTACAAACAAGTAGATGGTGTGAAAGTGCGAACACTGCAGCTTGTGTGTGCATGTAATGATGGTCTGAACAAAGCTGTGTGTTTTTGTGCGTGTGTCTGTGTGTGTTCACAGCTGCCGTGTCTTGGACATGGTCCTGGAACACCATCATTTGTTCTCCCCTCCCTGCAGCTCAGATCAATACAAATGCAGGGATAACTCAGTGTTGAGCATGTTGCTGCAGTGTGGGGAAACCAGTTAAAGATAACAGGGGCGTAGTTGACTTCTGTAGGGCCACTCCTGTGCATGAGATTACATAAGAAGCTTGGTTATAATTATTATTATTTGTTTAATTTGTTTCCAAACATCCAAATTTTTAATGACTGAAAAAGCTCTGATTACATAATTGTTTTTACATTTTCTGCTCTGTAAGTTTACCGTTTCATTTTCCTTAACTTCATTGCCATTTTGTCACTGTGAACCGGTCTGACCTTTCTAATCTGATTGCCTATTTATTTTCATTGTTATATTTCTGCAAACCCTGCACAGTGTGTGCAAGAACCCCAGGAGTGTACTGTTCCTGATCGTGAAACCTCATCAGACACCAGCAATTCAGAGTTGCTTAAATTACGTTCCTTGGGCCATCCTAATTGGTGAATCAGTTGTAGAGACACAGATAACCCTGATTACCTTTTCTGCTTGATTTTGTTTTTAAATATATATTTATATATTGATTTTATTTTATTTTTTTCCAAAATGCACCTACTTAACTCTGCTTGGAGGAGCTCATCCTATATGCTGAAGTATATGTCTGTATTATTGTCAGTAGTTTTTAAAACAAATCCTATGTAAAATCTTTTTTTCTTTGTTTGTTTTTTTTAATTACATGACACTTCTTACCTATTCCCTCTCCTCTTCAGGAGATCCAGCAGCAGCAGATAGTTAAGGAGCCCTACGGACTCAATCTGGCTAAATTTCCTGCAGAAAAAGACCTACTCATTTATGAAAGGTAATGGACACAAGGCTGGCACATACGGTACACGCATACATCAATATCAGTTTTAAGGCACACACGCTTTACAGTGATTGACCAACATGTACAGGACTTTATTGTCTTTTAGGTTAGGACATTTAAGTGACTACTATCAATAATGTCATATCAATCAGATATCACTCCACAATATGTTTCTAAAGGGTGAGAAAAGTAACAGCATTTGTATTATCACATATCTAACGTGATAATACAGTAATGTGTTTTTTGTAAATCGTGTTTCAAGAATATAAAGTTCATAGAAGCGTTTAAGATAATGTAATGAATTTGGTGCAAAGAATTATTGTTGTTTGTGAAGAATGAACAGGAAGTCAGAATGGTATCATCCACTCCATGTTTCCGTGCATTAAAGTGTGTTGTATGGGCTGCATAATATGCTGTGAGCCAGATAAAGTAACACACACAATTTTGGGTAAATCTGGGTAAATGTTATACTTTGCAACTGGAGCTGGCCTCTGTTTTTGATTGTTTGCTGGGCATTCAGCTCTCAGTATACTGTATGTCTAGCATGTTTTATTCAGCGGCACATTGAAGCAAACATCTGCAAATGGAAGAGCTCCAGCCTTCTTTTCTGACTGCCTCGGCCCATTGAAGTGGTCTCGAGGAAAATGCTTTCTTTTTATTATTGAAAATGCACCCAGTGAGGCGAGGGGGGGGAGCAGTCAGTGTTAGCAGCCCCCTCAGGGTGATCTCAGTCGTTTTGCAAAAGGGACATTGTCAACTCTACCCTACTGTGTGCCACACACTTCTGCCCTCACTGCTCTTTGTCCATCTCACTTCTTCCTGTACCTGAATTTCATTTTCTGTCTGTCACTTCTATTTCATTCTGTCCTTTCTCCCTGTTGATGAGCTACAATGAAAAGCTCTGAAATTGAACATAACCATCTGTTCTTGGGTATCAACTGAACATTTGATACAGTATGTTTTAATGACATTTTAATAGTTTTTTTTTTTTTTTTATTTTCCCACACAGCCATCCTAAACCCTGTGAAGGGCCCAGTCTGTTTCTGTAGCTAATGTGTGTTCATGTCTTTAAGGCAAAAGAAAATCATTTTTTTCTTTCTTATCTGATGAATTATTTTGGGCTCGTGCAAAAATTGCAGTTTTGACAACTGCTTAAACTTCTTGGAGCAAAAATTCCTGGCAGCTCAGAGATTTACAGGTCAATGCAGCAGCATTAAATTGATTTAGTCAAGGCATCTTTTTCAATAAAACCATAAAAGATGCACTTTTATTGACCTGAGATGCCTCTGTTTGATACCAATTGATTGTTCTTTGAATTGTTTCAGGAATTGACTTTAAAAAAAATCCAAATTACCATAAAGAATGTTCATTTCGTCCCCAATGCAGTGGTCCATAATGAGACTGAAACAACATTCATTATTGAGGCTGGAAGTTGGAAGAGCTCCAAGGATGTTAGTTGCAGCCTGAGCTCTGCTAATCAGTGTATTAATATTAACAATCATAAGCAAGAGCCAGAGGGGAATGCTCAGCTATTGCACATTGTTTTGTCTTTGCGAAAGAGAAATGAACTGCAGGGAAATTTGATGATGATGTGCACTGAACATTAGAGATCTCACTGGACATGTTTAGCTCATCTCAGAGTATTTTTTACAGGGGAGCAGACATAAAGAACCTGAAATTTAAAAGGTACTTTAGAGTTTAATGACAGTGTTGTTCATAAATAGTATAGACATGATGAAGATGACAGAAAATAGTGGCAGAGACAGCTTGCTTGGAGTATTGGCTTAATTTTTAAGTGTTTTTCATTTTGTTTTATTTCTCCCCTGCAGGTTTGTGCATCTAGGCGAGAACCAGCACAAAGTGGAGAGAACTGAACACATAGATCTGGAAAACATCATCTGCTTGTGAGTAAAACATGTAATTACGTTAACACAAACTCAGAGCATAACATATGTACGTAAACTCAGTCATCTTTAATCACGCAGTGTTGAGAGTTGCATTGCAATATTGGTTTGTTGTTGTAATCCGGCCCTTTTAAATAGCACTCAGCATTTCCAGCAGCCTTCAGTGAATGCAGTTGCTCCCTCTCAGTAGTCTCTAGGGAGACGTCTAGCTGTACACTGTTTAATCTCTTGTAACCAACCGCTCGTTCTTTCTTGTCTTCCTTCCTCTTTCCCAGTCCCTCTACCCACTGCCTTCCTGCTCAGTGCAGCCATGATCCAGTGGGTCATAGACTGTTGTTGTTTTGTTTTGTTTTTTTCTCCTCAGCCAGATACAATTTCTCTTTGTCTTGTTTTCTTTTTCTCTCTCCAGCTCTCTCACACACACTCGCACTCACAGACAGCATTTCAGTGACAAAACTCCTCATCAAGATTCCTCTTTATATGTATTCTTTTGAATTAATTCTCCCACTCATCGCTCATTTCTTGTTTTCTCTTTCACATGTTGTCTATTTTGCTAATGTTGCACCGCTGGGACTTGAATCATACAGGCTCCAGTGTTTTTATTTAATTATATAAAGGAGATTAGATGGTGAGGAGGAAACAGATGCTGCAGCGAGACTCAGCGGCAGCCCGTGTTCGCTGGTGGAAAAAGTACTCAGATTGTTTAAGTAAAAGTAGAAATATCACACTTTAAAAATACTGTTACAAGTAAAAGTCCTGCACTCAAATCGTTACTTAAGTAAAAGTACAAAAGTATTAACATAAAATAACAAAGTACTAAAAGTGTTATTATTGGAGTATAATTATTTTTCACAGAGCGAAGCTAGCTGTTTCACCCCGTTGACAGGCTTTGTGCTAAGCTAAGCTAATCCGCTGCCAACTGCTGGTTTATATTTCTGAGGCTGTTATCTTCTCATCTCATCAATATTTTAATGCAGTTGATAGACTCCAGGGAAGTCAGACTTGGCCTAATTGTCTGATCTAGTGCATTGCAGAATAAAATACTGAACACCATATTAACACACATTAAAGGGAATGCAAGATAATCCTAAATTGTAGTTATACATTTCACAATAAAAGCTGCAGACAAAACACTCAGTTGTCCACCTTTTTACATCTCAGTAATACCTGAGTGCAAAGAAAGAAAGGCAGTAAAATATTTGTAAAGTATTGTTTCCGCTCTTCATTATTCCTTCAGCAGGGATATTCTAGTACACGTGAACAGAACAAGGACAGCCCTTTAAACTCCACACGAGATGAAGCAACAGATGTTGTGGAACTGACATATTTACAGGATGAAAACACGGTGATCCACGTGGCAGTTTTTCCTCATCCTGTGCAGCACTTGAAGGTTTTTCATAGCCAGCCATTTGTTAGAAGGCCCTGAGAGGGAGAAAGGCTGAAGACTGCAGAGTTAAAATAGAAGATAAACACTGGAAAAGAGGTAAAGTCAATGAAAATAGGATTTAATCAGGCAGAAATGTTGTGACACAAAACCCTCCATGAGAAAACATGAAAAAACAATAATACAGAAGGTGATGTCCTTGGATTTGCAAGTCATTTATCCCTCCAACAAGATTCATTTTCATTCATAGCATGTTAAAATATATTATATGGAAAACTATTTTTAACTTTATCCTATATGGAAGAAGCTATCCACTTGATGCCAGGGTCAGCTTTAGCATCTAGACAAGATTCTACAAAGCTGACTCGGTTGTGGAAATAAAAGCAGTATGAATAATGTGGCAGATTCCTGTTCCTCCTTAAATTACAATGAGCTTTCAAACCATAGATCCAGATTAATGGGCACTTAGGACTGACTAAAAAAGGTCACTTACTTTATTTGAAGTTTTCATCTGTAATAAAGTGTCTTCCCTATTATGTCTAGCATAAATCAAATATTCTAATATAGCAGTAAATTCAGAAACATATATAAATATTGTATGTGTTTAGTTCAACTTACAATTTTTAAACATGAAATAGTTTTCGCCATTTTGTTTGTTTTTGTTGTGGTGTCAAAACATGAACATCTGTAACTAAACAAACAATGGCGCTCACTGATATGTAGTTGACATGGTTTCAATGAATTAGTAGCGCCCAACTGGAAAATTAGCATCACATGAAGATTAGCATGTTTATCTCAGTGAAACAACTCCTGAATAACTATTTGCCCTCCATTTGGATGGAATTCTGGATTCAGTCTGTCCAGAAGCACAAACATAATAAATAATGTGTTGATCTCCCTTTTGGCCCTGGTCGTGTGCCTATGGTTCATAATTCATCTCACTGCTTTCGTGATCTACCAGAGCCGTGGTTGTGGCTTTGGCACAGCCAGTCATCAAGGAGGTGCACTTATAATGCAGCCTTGCGTCTGAGCAGCTTCTCACTGGGGCCTCAGCTGCTGTTAAACTGGCTGACTGAGCGGTTGACCCGACAGGCATGCAGTTGATAATCCACCCTGAACATGACGAGACATGCGTTAGAGTCTAGTTTCCGTGAAAAGATGAGTAATTCTGCTGTAAATGCGCCCGTCTCTGCCGTCCTCATGTTGCTTCCATTAGCACTTCTCTTAACCTACTCTCTGCAGCAAATTTTCACTAAGATGTCAGTTTGTTCTAGAACATTTTTCTTATCCTTGATGTATTTTGGTTCATCTAGTGACAATTATAGCTACAGTAGTAACATTTTTCTCTGGTGTGAAAATTACACTTGCTCTTCTACCATCATGTGAGTTTAAAATAATTTTGACATCTCTCTTTTTATCTTGTTCCCTCCCCTTCAGAAAACCTGTGTCCTGCTTCCCAGAGGACAGCATCTACGCCGTGTCTCCTCCGCAGGTCGATAGAGACAGCCGCGATGTGTTTGAGAGCCATGTGATGACAGGGCAGGGCCAGGTGAGGGCGCTGTGCAGGGACGACATGTTGATGTACAGGGAGTATGTCAAGAACAGGTACATGTGACACAGTCGACATGGACTGGATCTTTTATTTTTATTTTTTATTCATTCAGATATGCCTCTACATGCTGTTTATTTGTTCTTTGTCTTATTTTAATTGCAACTCTTTTAGGAAAGTTTAACTATATGGACATAACAAACATGTAAACTGATGTATAGTAAATAGTTTTGACTCCTGAATAGTTTGAATCTTAATTGTTGGGACCATTAGTGTAATGGTCGGCCCAAAGACTGGAATCTGTCTCTTATGCTTGGAGCTGTGATTTTCTTTCACTGTGCGCTTTAATAAAAGTTGAATGTTTTTTTTTCATCTGCGGACAAAACTCCACTCCCACCTTGATGCTGTTACCTTGGGATCCATGTAACTCTATTCTTTTTTTTAGTTTACAACACTGCACAGTGCTTTTGTTTTGTTTTGTGTGGATGTATATCTGAGATGTCAACTGATTATCGTGTAAAGTAAACATTTATTTATTAACATGGTGTGGCACATTCAATTGCTTTTCCCTGTAAGGAGTTTTTACACTTTTTTTTAATATGCAAACATTTTTCTAATTCCTTTTCCAGCCATTATGCACCTTGTTTGCTTTTGTCCTGTCGATCACACTTTCTCCTTCTCTCGCCTCTCTCACACTCCTTTAGTACTCAGCTTTCAACCACAGGTGTCAAAAAATGTGAACAATGATGAAGACCATTTTTCCAGTAGTACAATTCAGTCAGCATACAGACTGAACACTGGTCTCTGCATCAGTGCCTCGTGAGCCCCGAGGAGGAAGGGGAGCAGACCAGGGGTGCTAGAGCATGGAGAACGGCAGGGGAATTAAAAAAAATAATAATAATTTTCAACTGTATTTAAATTCAAATTAAGAGAAAATGTGGTCACCCCATCATTCATTTTCAAAGCCTTTAGTGCTATAATTATAACTGGAGTGTTTGGGAGATAGTAATGGTGCGCTTACAGATACATAGTACAATGCTGTGTTGACACACATCACCCAACGTGAAGACAGCCTGACTCAGGAAACCTTTTATAGCTTTCTACTGTATATTGTTACTTGGCACTAGAAACGAAGATACTGTAGATCGATTCACCTGCTCTGCTTTTGATTTAACTTGGGAGGCTTTCTGGTGTTTCATGAAATAGTAGAAAAAAGGAGTAGCAAGTACTGTATGAACGGATTCCAGCCTGACATCTCTTCAATCTAGTAAATTAAAGGTCATACACAAGGCTTGTTTTCTTGAAAGTGGTTTTCTCAACAACTGTCTTCTACTCTAATTACTCTAGTCCCTGGAAGTTCTTACAGTGCACATAACATCTACAAGGACAACTAACTTTTTCACTGTATTCTTCCAGCATAACACATACAGTACAGGTTTACATCATGTCATGTAGCAAGAAAACTGAAAAAATGTTTTTTATTTTACATCCAAATGCCTGTAGTGCAACCCCAGGTTACCTAAGAAATGTTTGACTAGTGCAAACCATTTATGGGTGAGTTGCGACAGGGTATCTTAACCTCTTGCTTTCTAATTGGTTAGTAATGCTCATTCAGAAATGTAAACAAAGGTCTGTGACCTACCAGATGTCTGGCTTTGTTGATTGTAGCCTAATATAGATATTATGGGGGTTAATTATTAAAGACCTTAGATCCCAGAGATACACTAGATTTGAATCAGTTGCTCCAAAATAAAAAAATAAAAAAAACATAGTCCTAAATTTTAACTCCCCATGTGAAGGTCTGAATACACTGCCAATGATTTTAAATCAGGAGGAGGAAAACTAAACAACTTATTGAAATCTAACCTCGTTTTTGTCTAAAAGCAATCAAACTTAAAGATCAATCAATCCGAGGATTATCAGAATATTTCTTAAAATACCACAATCTGTCCCAAAAACAACACCGAGGACATGAGCACAGTGTCCTCAGCAGTGGCCCTGTTGGTATACGTCAAACAAAAACAAGCTCGGTCAGACAGCAGAATCACTTTTAGAGAGCTGTGGGTTTGATTTTTCCATCTTAAGAAGCTATGTGTTATCAAGCCCAATCTTTATTTTTCCATTTTAAGACATCTCTCCTGATCCAACACCTGCACCTGTTCAGTTTATTAACACAGTGTTATTCCTTTCAGTTGGCTCACTGGAAATTAGCAAGTTTTTAGCAAATGTATGTAACATAACATCAAGGTCATGATGACATCTGCAGAATATTGCAGCAGGTCAGACATACAGTATTCATCAAATTATGTGACTGTTCCTTTGGTGAGTGGTCTACTCACTTTGTTTTCCATGACCAGTAATGCAGGAGTAAAGTGTGTGAGCGTCCTTGACTGAATACAGCTCCTTTTTTTTGTAAGAAGTAGGTCACAGTCAGGTTTGTGAGTCGATTGAGCTGCTGCAGTGTCTGTGTGATGTCTCCGTTCAGCTCTCTCAGACACATTTGATCTACCTTCACTTTTCTCCTTCCACTAGATATTTTTCCCTTGACTGGTTGAACCATAACTAAAATCTTTGCTATATTTTGGTATTTCATTTTTTTTTTCAAGCTCCCTCATTTATGACCCTTTTTTTTTTTTAAAAATCTAATTGGGTAAATATCTCTAGATGGGTATTCTAACGTTCGGGGGTGAGTGACTGTGCCTGTGTGTTTGTATACGAGCATGTGAGAGCATGTGTGCACACTTACGAAGAGTGCTGCTGTCTGTGTTTGCAGGCAGGGGGGCTGTTTTGAAGGGAAAAGCAGCCTTTTATGTAAGGCCCTGTTTTTCTCTTGTTTTTATGTTCCTAATGGCAGGTGTCTTGTTACACTGAAACCTCTCGGCACACATGGGTATGGATGAATAAATGCAGCTTGTCGCTGATATTTTTGGGCATCTGTTATTGCTAAAAGAAAAAAAGGTGTCTAAAGTTGTTGGTTGGTGGGGGGGGGGGGGGCACGTCTATTTTTGGTGAAAAATTCAATTCGTTAAGTCCATCATAGAGAAAGAACCAAAATCATTTTGAAACGTATTTTTGGTCCTTTGTGTCGCCGGGTATCTGCCTAGTTCTTTGATATGAGTCACTAGGCACTTCATGTGACCGCTTAGCTTATGAATGAAAACAACCCCCTCTCCAGTCCTCAGTCCGCTGACAAAAGGTGGCCAAACAGCTGTTGCCTAGAAACCAGAACTGGTCACCATATTGCTATGCTGCTCTCAGTCTCCTTTACATCCCCTTGTCTCCCAACATTTCATCCATTGTTATGTGACATTTAATTATTGAAGACATAAGTTCAACATTATTGCATTCTAGTTCAAAACACTAATGATTTTTAAAAGTATAGATAATAAATCTGTAAAGCCATTGCTGTGTGGAGGCCTTGTTTCATTGTGTGCATCAATCAGAGAATTCTGAAAATCCCATCTGCCATGTCTCCATTGGTTGTAGCAGAAGATATTAGATGTAAGAGTATTGCATGAACAGCCTTAACTTGGTATACTAAGTCACATGTCAGCCCAGTGTACACCGGGTTGTGGTGTGTGTCTAAGATACTGTATCTTGTTGCAGGTATGCAGAAAGCAAAGTGCTTAGTGACCAGTCGAACTGAGCAGGGTGTGTTTCTGGACACTTGATGGTGACTTGCTCCGGAAACACACAGCATGCTGAACTGAGGAGTTTAATCTACCATCTCCGCTGTTAGAGTTGTGCATACTGTTGAGGATTGTTAAACTAACCGTTGTCCAGAGTACGTTAGCTTGTCAGCCATTTTGTTGTTTTGTTTGCTCTCTTTCTCTTCATTCCTACTGTTTGTCACTTTCACTTTTTTGATTACCACGCTACAAACACTAGACCATTTGACTCCTTAAGCACAAGCATAACAGTAAACATTAATAAGCACTGCAGTCCAATCAGGTGAGTCATTCTTTAATGATAGGTGCACCTGTGCTTTTCGGCTGAGAGGTCTGTAGCACTATTTGATGCTAATTAATAATCACTGAAACATTTGGTATATCAGCAACAACAGCTCAGCTAATAATCGTTCCAGTTTACATCAATAGGAAAAATTAACTGGCAAAACTTCACTGCAAGTCTCCCTATTTAGTATTTATAAGCAAAAACCTACACTGTGATACATTATAATGAAGTTATAAGCTGATATTAGTGTGCATTCGTGTATTTTTAGCAGCTGTAATAAACAGTTGTAGTCATAAAATATGGATTTGAGAGGTTATAATTTTTTTACAAATACTGTACATGAACTAAAACGGACATGTCCTTGCTCACAACTAATGCATTGTGTGTTATAAACCAATGTCAGTATTTGTTTGGGGTAACAAAACTAGCTTAATAAATAATAGCACTAACTTTCTAATAATAAGTAGTGCTTGTGTTTACACTTTATTCCCGGTTTTCACGATGCTTATCACCTGGGGACTTGTGTGTTGGCAAGTTCACCAGCTCTTCAAGTGGTGCCTGAAGTTTGCCTGAAATAAAATTCATCATGTTTCAGGAGAGAGGTGTGCTGGGTTAGATGAGGCTGGTAAGAACCTGTAGTTTCATTTTCTTACTGAGAAAGCGCTGAAATATGTAGGAGCTTTGATGCCAGAGAGAGAGAGAGAGAGAGAGCCTGGCATCGTCTCTCTCTTACTTTTTATACAGTGACGTCACTCGTATTTAAAGCTCTCCTCGCGCGTCTCTGGTCGGTCCCCTGTCGTCGTCCTCTTCCTCCTCCTCGCGGTCGCCTTCCTCACAGAGCTGGACACCGGCCAGTGCTTCACACCACCCCTGCCCTGGGTGTCTGTGCCATGCGTGGGAAGCACAACAAAATCAAGGGCTTCACTTGAGAGGGTCCACACGAGCGAGAAACTGTGGGCAGCCGTTGCATCGTTTTTATTTATTTGTTGCTTTAAAAGTTCCCTTCGGACGAGAGTCAGCGATTTCAGCGAGAATCTCAACTCGTAGCGTTTTGTCACGGAGGTGGGTATTCTAAACTTTTAACAAATCGTCTTCCAGATAGGACAGTCACTGAAAAAAAAATGCTTAAAAGATTTACATTACTTTAAATTGTTCCTCCAAAATAGGGAAGTGATAGTCATAAGAATGAACTCCTTCGGATAATACTGTAGCCTAGTAATCCTATAGTGTGACGTAGAAGAATAATACAGAGCAGTTGTTGGATTTCTTAGTGGATAAAAAACCTAAAACTATTATTTAGCACCACTAAACCCCGTAGGTCCTTATGGAAGTATTAAAATAATTTGAGAACGAAATGAGGAAAGTGATGTGCGGTTGGTGTTGCTGTGCTTTCAGCACCGTGGACAGCTCCTGCTTCTTTTACAACTTTGAACAGGAAAATCCACCTTAAAACTGGATGTACGTTATTTTTGGTTAGCAACTCTAATCTTCGAACTAGAGAATTAAAAGGCATCTGTTTTATATGATATCGCATGAGTTTTATTTTAATGAACAGTTTCATTTGTGAAAAACCACAAGAAAGTGTCTTAGGACTTGTTCACTGTTTGCTCACTATAGAGCAGCTATAGTAGGTGACTTCATCAATACATAATGATTCTGTATTCACAAATTAAAACAGACTTTTACAGTGGGTACTATAGAAATGGCCAAAAAAGAAAAAACGTTTTAGGGTGAATTCTCTAACTGTTGACTTGTACAACAGATTGTCTGCAAATGACTCTGGAGGGAGCTTGAAAATGCTTAGCTCTCATTGAAGATACCAAATTGTATCAGGATTGGTAAATTATTTGCTTTAGTTTTTTGTGAAATTTAGGGTTGTGCACTTGTTTAAGTAAGTAGGTAGTTTCACTGCTAGGCAATGGCATCAGATACTTTGCTCAGTAGCTGTTACTCAACATACTGACACCCTCATCAAAAAGAGAAATTACCTTCACATTATCATTAATAAACCAATCCACTTGCTCTTCTGCCCACAGGACAGAAGGACAACAGTGTGGAGATATGAATGAGTCGCTAGTGGTGAATGACTCTTCTGTGACTCCTGTGGGTGGAGAAGCTCTCACATGGCTTGAGGTTGAGACACCAGAGCACAATGGCAGCCTGGAGTTCTCTACTGCCCCGTTAGGTTTCCCTGTCAACCCATGGGACATTATGCTCTGTATGTCTGGCACTGTCATTGCCTGTGAAAATGCCATAGTGGTAGCAATCATCTTCTACACACCAACACTAAGGACTCCCATGTTTGTGTTGATTGGGAGCCTGGCCATGGCGGACTTGCTGGCTGGCATGGGATTAATCCTGAATTTCGTTTTTCAATACGTGATCTCCTCTGAGACTATCAGCCTAATCACTGTAGGATTCCTGGTGGCCTCCTTCACTGCCTCCATCAGCAGCCTCTTGGCTATAACAGTTGACCGGTACTTCTCCCTCTACAACGCCCTGACATACTTCTCAGAGAAGACGCTGCAGTACGTACACCTGATGTTACTGGGGACCTGGGGGGTGTCTCTGTTTCTGGGCCTTCTGCCAGTGCTTGGCTGGAACTGCCTGGACGAGCCAGCCTCCTGCAGCATTGTCCGCCCGTTGACCCGCAGCAACATCATGCTCCTTGCCACCTCCTTCTTTGCCATCTTTGTTCTCATGCTCACCCTCTATTTCAAAATCTGCAAGATTGTGTGTCACCATGCCCACCAGATCGCCCTGCAGCAGCACTTTTTTGCCACTTCGCATTATGTTGCCACTAAGAAGGGCGTCTCCACTCTCGCCATCATCTTGGGGACATTTGGCGCCAGCTGGTTGCCCTTTGCCATCTACTGCCTTGTCGGCGAGAGAGAGTATCCATCAGTGTACACCTATGCTACACTGCTGCCAGCCACCTACAACTCCATGATCAACCCCATCATCTACGCCTACAGAAATGCAGAGATCCAGCGCTCCATCTACATGCTTCTGTGTGGCTGCTTCCAGGCCGACGGGACCTACCGGTCCAGGTCACCAAGTGAAGTTTAAAAAGGTGCTAGAGCTCTTTTTGTCTGTGTGAGAAAATAGAGCAAAAAGACAAACCGTCCCATGATCATCGACAATCCGCTTACAGCTGAAAGTGAATGCTTTACAAACACAAATGGGGTGTTATGCTAGAAATGTCTCTCATGTATACTGTATCTGCACTTTAATGTCTCAACACAAGTTTAGGATGAGAATTTGGAAATGCTGTGAACAAGAAACTTCAGTTTAAAAGAAAACAAAACCTGTGAATGTACTTAACCGAGAAAAGGACTAGAAAATCTTGCACTTTATTCAATGTTTTTGAAACGCCAAAGCAGTATTGTACAGCCCATATTCTGTTTAAATGTTTGAACCTGTGAGTACTGTGTGCCATTTTTCTATTTTGTATTGTATTGTCTTTGATGTACATTTTCTACAAGAAGAATAAAGGGATATAATCCAGCTCACGTGTTTTTACTGTGGTGTGTTTCTTCGAAGGGGTCCTTGTGTTACACCTGACTTGTTTATTTTACATCCTCTTCAGTTTGTTCCAGTCTCTTCCTTCAGAGCGCAGGTGGGTCTGTTTGAAGAGACTAATGGCACATTGACCCGGTAAAATGGCTTCAATTTACACCTAGACACATGCGAATCCTGTTTGCTATGTGTGTGTGTGTGTGTGTGTGTGTGTGTGTGCGGCAGAGAAAGACGCCTCCAGGGAGATACCGTAGATGTGTGAAAACATGTGCCATGTGGTCAAGTATGCTTAGCAACTTTAATTACTTCTACTTTCATAATAAACATGAAATGAAACCTACAATAATACAGGATGTAGAAGTCTAATGATCACTTTTTGCAGTTTATTATCTCTACAGCACTTTATTAGCTTTGGTATGTGGTTGTGTTAAGATACAATACAGTCAAAGTGCTGGAAATGAGAATGTTTCTTAGACTGTTGTGTTATTGTCTATTGTTTCATCAACAGCTACAATTATGATTCTGGAGTAATTCAGCCATAGGCACGTTTGTGTGCCTGTGACAGAGCAAGGAGAGAGGTGATAATAAGTCCGTCTGTTCTCCCTGTCATCTGTGCTGTAATGATTCCAAATGAACCTGGCAGCCAGAAATAGAGCCGTTTATCTGCCAGGCTGTTTAAACATGTAGTGGTTGAGGACATTGGAGTGCCACACAGGAAGAAGGATAAATGTCTATGTACCTGATGATAGGTAATATGAAATTAAATGTTTGTGAAGGCCTTTGGTTTGGACCATATTTTGGTCCAGGACTACTTAATGATACTGGACCTTCTTTGTTGTTTTCTGCTGGTATAGTCATAGATATGTGGGCTCTTTCCATAATGGCTTTGAACTGGATTTTCTTTTTTCTTTTTTTTTTACTGTTATGGACAACTTTATCCCTCTAGCATCACATTAGATCTCCCAACAACAAAACAGGGGTCACTGTGCTTGCTTTTGGTCGCCCATTAAAGCAGGCAAACACCTGTTTGTACACAGGGGTCCTAAAGGTAACTTCTGACTAAAGGCTCCAGTACACAGTGGGGCTAATTTCTTTAATGTCAAATTCTAATGTGCATTGGAAAGTCTTATTGAATAAAATGTTATTTTTAGAAAATATTTGCACTTAAAGGATAAAGCTATATGTTTCAATTTAGGTTTAGTGGGCCTTTTGCAGTCTGGTTGTATAAAAGGTTCATTTTTCCTTTTTTGACTTTTTTTTTTTTGTTTCCTCTATAATTTTCTTGTTTCTTAACATCACCAGAGCTTGATTTAAGGCATGCTTGACATTTTATGTAATGCACATCTGATGTTTCATAAAGAAAAAGTCGTGTGTCAGAGGTTAATATTAACAACACTGAAATTCACCTGTTGACCTTTATTTGATATTACATCCATTAGACTAAAAAAGGGCTTGTTGCTGTGTTTGAATTATGTAACACATTATCAAGGCAGATCTGAGCAGCTCTCCAGACAATTACCAAAGTACAAAGTCAAACGATTTCCTTATTATTAACATTTAATTACAGTGGTGTACCAAATGCCCTCCATAGCCATTAGCTCGATGAAGGAGGCTTTGGTGTTATGGATTGTGTAATCACACAAATGGTTTGGTTTTTGCTTCCCTCCTGGGTTGTTGTTTCATATTCATATGAAAGTGATATCACAGGAATGTTTGAGATACAGATGGCAAAAGAAAAGAGACAAAAAAAAATCATTTGTGGCATTCATTTTGAATCTGACTCCTCATGGAGAGCGCAGTGGAAAACCTTGGTACTCCCTGCTTGGTAATTACTAGACTCTGGGGTTTGTTATGATGAACACAAACACAAACACAGCCCCAAGCACAGACTTGATCACCTGGAAAAGCTAAGACCAGCCAAATCAGATGCTTAAAATCTGCTTTGCAATAAAAGCTATTGTCATTAGCCTCTGTCTCTTTGCCTGTGGCCTGTTGGTGTGTGTGGGAGAGAAAGTGTGTACATGTTGGCACAGGACTAAACTGTATGAGTATGCATGTTGGTAAGTAGCCGGGCTCCTACCAGGATTCATCATGGGTAACTTACCAGATTGTGAGTGGGTGTACTGCCTATAAGCACTGTGTATGTGCCATCCAAGGTGTGAGGGTGTTTTACCTGAATGTGAGAGACCAGCCCTAATCTTGACCCAGGACACACTAACTCCTCTCCCTTTGCCTTCTCAGAAGCCAAGGTATTATGAGCTTAACACATATTAGACAGCAACACAGTTAGGTTTTAGTTTTGGACTTGCACCACCTAATTTATTTACTTTAGAAGTTAAACAACCCATAAGAAAAGCAGGACGTCACCTCTAAATGAATGGATACTTGCAGTAATAGTTACAGACAGTTAATGCTGTTTTTTAAAACACTGTTTCAGAGTGAATAAAATGTTAGTGTCTACAGATATATTGTAGTAATTGTGACCATATTATTTCAGTGTGGAGTATTCATGCACATAGCTGTCTGAAACCCATGAACATCATCACACACATTTGCAGGTCCTGCAGTATAATGTAAGTGTATCAGCTCTACATTAACATAAATTGATCAAAGTCCTGGTAAAGCATGTGGTATCTGTTCTTATGGTGTCTTGCTGCTTGCTCTCTGTTGTTTTTGTCCCTTACTGCTGCTGGAACACTGGAATTTCCCCACTGTGGGATCAATAAAGTTCTACCTACCTACCTTCCTGAGTCGTAGAGGAGGTGTATCCCTCTTAAATGTTAATATTTTGTGGCTAGAGTTAAACTTGATACCGCACATCACCTAGTTTAAGTTTCTATCAAATGTTGTTTGAGGCACTAGTGCCTATTTTCTCCTTGGAAGATTAACTTTTGCTTGTGGTCACTTGACTGATGATAAACTCAAAACCCAGAATATCTTGTAGGCAAAACATTTGGAGTCATAAAGTAATCCGGTCTTCAAGGTCATAGAGGTTAGTTTGATTTGAAAACAGGAGGCACATGCTGTGCCATTAACCATAAGAGAATGTAACTTGCAAAACTAATGAATAATATGTTTACCTTTCTTTTTCTTTTTTTTTTTTTTACAAAAAAAAAACAAAGCATGAGAATATGTATTATTTGCAGCCTAGATTATATCACTTGTATGTCACTTTGATTCAACAACCCTCCTAGAATCAACATTTTGTACTAATGCACTGGTGTCTGCAGCCCTTCATTTCATGGACTCCCTTAGAGCACGTTCTTGATGACGATGATACTCATGACAGCCAAAGTTGGAGTCAAGTCAGTGCTGGGGAATGAGTGCCTGTGGGACAAATACAGTACGTATATGCAACAAGAACCAGGCCAAGTGTAGGTGCCATGAGGATACAAAGCGCACATATACTCATGGTGCTGTAGAAAATGTGGTATTTCTAGACCTGGATGAATAATTCTGAATATGAAAAGACTTCCTGATACATTTAAACTCTTGTTCAGTCACATTATCATGTGACCTGTCAGCCCTGTAGAGGACATAATTATATTGCCAGGTGAATGGCGCCCGCTTCATAACGTCCACTGAATGTCACAGTAATACAGTATTTGCACCAGGTGGTGAATGGGCAGGAGTCAACAGGAGGTTAGTGTCTATCTGTATCTGTGACAGCTTTGTTGTTTCTCACATTGTATAAGGTGTAAAAGAGGCGGGGAGGGAAGGCAACTCAACGGTTTTAATTTGTTATGTTTCACTAAAAGAGATGACTGTTTAGATTTGTTGTCAGAAAACCTGCCTGTGCAGGTAGACGTTTAGGAGAAAATCACGCTAGGAAGCAGCCAATTAAAAATTGAATACTTTAATTTGGAACTTTTTTTACCCTACGTATCCTCCATATCTGCAACTAGATCAAATTGATGAAAACTTTATCTAAGCATGCTGGGGGCTCTGCTATGCTTGGAAATGATTTTTTTTAAACAGGTTCATTACAGCTCAGACAAGGAAAGTATCATGCTGAATGAAATGTCCGTATTACATTGCTAGGTGAAACAGGTCACTTTAACCTGCAAGATAATATGAAGGTTAAGATGGAAAAATAAAAGTCCTGAAGCTGAACATGTTGGTTCCCATTTACTCACACCTTCATATAGCTCCCTCATCTGATACTAATCTCCCACACTCGCACCCAACCTACAACCCCAGTCAGGACAGTATAGATTAGTGTAACCTCCATAACCCGGCAGCTCAGTTCTTAAGAGCCACTTCTGTAACAAATTAACTCTCATTGTCAATTACTTGACAGGAGAAGCTCCTATTTACTTATTAAGTGGATATTCATCTGACTGCAGAAATGATGATTAATGTAGAAATTAGGTGGGGAGCGGATTAATTCAGCCGTGACCAGGCTAAGGACTCAGGAATATGATTTGCATTAGAATCAGGGCATCATGACTTAATGAAGGCACTGAGGAGACCTTTGATTTCTTTACTATTAGCGGCTTTTAACGCTGAATAGTTCAGTGGAATAAGATACTTTTATAAATGTACCACATGAGGTGGCTGCATAAAAAGCAATTATGTAAATGTTGAAAGAGCATGTGATTTAAATCCTAAAATATAGATGTACTCAGCAAAAAGAATGTGTCATGGTTTTACCTACCAAATTTGTAAGACAGCTACAGTTACTTTGCAGAGATTTTAACAAAACATTAGTTTATAAAATGAATGAAACTACCCAGCTCTACATCTGCCTCGATAAACTACAAGAGTAAAACACCACTTACACAATAAAACATTATTAATAATCACACAATAACATAATTTAGATGCACATTTTACTTTTAGCATTTCTCTGCCGAGTTAAAGCTAAAACCTTCATGATATAATCTGGTTCAAGTGAAGGGTCAGGATCCGAAGAGATGACCAAACTGTAAAACTTACATAATGACATCTGACCTGAGGGCTGACACTGAACCTCCACCTGCACTAGGTGAGCCCAAACATCCTTTAGCTTAGGAACCAAAAGATTCAAAGTGACATCTGGCATTTTGGTGCTCAGACAGGCTAATTCTAATTATATATTTTTATGTAAGTCATGTACTTTTGTAACCGGAGGCCTCTAAACTCATTGTGTCATGAATGCAAAGCTGCATACAGTGTTGGTAATTGTATATATGGAAGCAAAAGGACTGTTAGTTGTTTTTTTTGTTTGTTTGTTTAAGAGAAATACCCTAAAAAGTCTCAAACTAGAGCGCTAAACAGCAGTGTCACCTCTCAAAATATTTAAATTAATTAGTGAATTTGTTACTTTTCATCTTTTAAAGGCTCATTTTCAAACTGTTTTAACTGAACAATAATATCAACCACACCATGAACATGAATACTGGAACTTCTCTGTCCATAACTATCATTTAAATCCCTCAGTGTTGCATAATGAGCTTGTTTACGCTTGTTTTATCTGGGCATGAGAGAATGAGTGTGTGTAGGTGTGACGTGAACTGTGTTGGCGATAATAGAGCGTGTAGGAGGGAGGACACACAAACAGTTATTTGCTGAGCTGTCAATGCATTTCACTCAATTTCCCACCGCAAAGAAACATATCTGTTGTAAAACTAAAGAATCTGAACAGGTTTTAGATTAGATGGAAAAAGTGTTCTAACAATATGTAACAAGAAAATTGGTAACAATACAATTGCAAATTCCTCCAAACTTAGGTTAACCCTGAATGGGAACATGGTTAACAAGGATAAAATGATTCTAGTGCATGAATTGTAAAGAACCATTATAGACAAATCCATAATCAATATCTGTAATGTTCCTGTGTTGTTTTTTAATACTCTCAGAATAGAGATGTCCTCAGACTGCCCTCTAGTGCCACTCCGACACCATGACTCCTCTTTATCCGTTCCAGCAATGAACTTCCTGGTCAGAACACATCTTTTCACCCACTGAATACAAACCAAATAGTGTTGTCCCATAACATGTTACAATGGCTCCATATTTGTTGTTCTAATTTGATGCTTTCAAACTAGAATCACAAGTTTTTGAAATGTAATGCAGATAATAATCCAATAAACTTCAAGTAGCATCAAAAACATGCTTCCAAAATGAATTTTAAGCATTTAATATACTCAAGAAAAACACAAAAAAGACCAAACAGGACAAACCAAATTCTGGTATCTTCATTTTACTTTATTGTATTAAAACAAATACATTTGTGGACATGTTTGGCACCTTTAAGTCCATGTTAAAAGATGTGTAATGGGATCAGCAGTGTCATGAAAAAAAGTGAGAGAACTGTGATCTATTTAAATATACTGACAGAAAAATCAATAAAGATGGAAGTACAGGCTACTATTAAGTGTTCAAACATGGTTAAAAGACTAATTTTACAGTTGACCGGTCTGTTGTGGGGTTCTAGACTGCAAGATAAAACCAGTTTGAGGATCAGATGAAATTAAGAAAATGAGAATACTGCCACCTGGAGGCAGACCTGAAATATTTCATCAGAACAGCTCTAGCTGCTGTACACAGTCCTGGCCTAGTCTTTCATTTCATGGCAACACTGTCCTCAGCTATGTTGCTCCTTTAACAGCAGTCGGTCCTTTTTAAGATGCTGTATGGTATCAGGAATCCTCTTCATTGTAGAAGAACAAGTAGTAGAATACAGCGCTGATAGTAAGCAGAGCGACTGATAACAGCATGTTCCGCCGATTCTCTCCTCTTAAGGTCTCCAGCTCCTTGTCTGACAAAGAAAAATAAGTTTGGTGTGAAGATAATATTGTGTGGTACTGACAGCCGTCAATCAAATGTGAAAGTGCATGTGGAATCCTGCTTCTTCCATTGATGTGTGGCAGTATAGCAGACCAAATCTACGGTGACCCAGATGTATGCATACATACTGTAACCTGTCCCTTTCCATAACCTTCTGTTTTAAATATGAATTCCTGTTTTGTGTATCGATATAAATGTGAATATTGTGGGTACATGCACAGTGATCTGCTCTTCATGTGAATTCACATGACACACATTTATTATTTACCATAAAAACTGGCTTGTGCTTAAACAGGCATGTAATTAAGTAATTAACAGAGCATGATAGCACATTTGCAGCTTTTAGCAATAATAAGTTATTGGTGATCCTAGACCTGGTATTACCTGGTACTGGATCAAAATTGAATTTTGTGGTATCTACCACTCACAAGTAGCATTAAGCAATACACATCTGTGCAAAAAAAAAAAAAAAAAGAAGTCTAAAGCTACAAATAAGCATTTTAAACATATGAGCTCACCAAACTTTTGTATCCTTTCATTCATGATTGCCACTTCATCTTCTAGTTCCTGTCTGTGGAGCAGAAAGGATGTGACAAAGATAAACTGATCAGTTAAGATAAGCCGCAAAGTGAGGAAGTCATTAGTTAGGTTTTAAGTAAGAGACTGAAGGATAGGTACCCAGCTTGTCAATCTGTCTTATATCAGCCATTACAACAATAAACATGTTTGTGAGTGCTGTGATCATGCATCCTGTTCATACTAGTCATTAAAATAAAATCCCTTCCCAGTGTGCTTTAACTGTCGGTGACTAAACCCACAGCCCTCAACTCCCTGCAAAAATGTATTCCTGTCTTTAGTTTAAGCTAATATGAAGCTTCAGCTGTGCAAGGGAGACGAATCAAACTTCCATAAACAGGTGCTGTTAGTGTAAAATTATCTCAGGACAGTGATTTCTTGTTCCTTGCCTTGCTGCAGTGGAAAAAGAGTGAGTCATTAAAAAGACAGATTTTGGTACACACACAAAAGATGGAAACCTTGGAAGATGCTCACTGGATTGATCTATCATGGCCTGCTGAAGCCTCATATCAACTTCAGCTAAACTTATTAAAACAATGAGCTCAGTCAGTTATATGGTTTCCTGATTATTGTTCCAAGACTGGTTTGAAAATTATGAATCTATCCTTTAACAACTAGTCCTTTTGGCTGCCCCAGTCTGCATCACCTCTCCTTCTCAGAGAGCTTTCCCTTCCTCCTCCTGAATTCCGCCCTCTCCAGGTTGTCTTGGCACCGTGTCCGCCGCTCCTCCACACGGTCAATCTGCTGACAAGTTATTTAGTACAACCAGGTGAGATACAACTAGCTTAGGTTAGATAAATGCAATGCCAACCAGCAAAGCGGTCAGACAGTTCAGCGAATGAATGAAGTTACAGTACTTAGCAACCGCTAGCTACCTATGCCTTCTAACCTCTCACCTCAGTGGCAACACTGATTTTCTCTCGTCTTTTGTCTTTCGATTTAGCCATTTTTGACAGAAAACCTGGTCGAGATGCAACTTAGGTTAAGCTGTAACAGTGCGGAAGTGTTCTTCTTCTTCATAATGTTTATTGCTCCCTTCTGACACGTCAGTCCTCAGTGTTTTTGCTGCCCTCTATCTGTGACAAGTAACATTGCACCATTTGTCTCCCAGAGCGCGGAGTCTGTTCCCCTCAGTGCTCACCTGCCAAACACAGATAGGCGAGGAGAGTTGTTGTTGACCGCTCCTAATCGGTTATTTGACCCGAGAGGACAGGATTTAATCGAAGAAAAGAGTCTGTTCTTTCTACCGTCCTCTTCCCTTTCTGTAAAAATGTCTTTTTTTATTAAGCTTACCGTCCTCTTCCCTTTCTGTAAAAATGCCTCTTTTTATTAAGCGGGACCAAATATTTGCGCATCAGGTACATCTAAGCTAGTTACTCTTGAATTAAGTTATTGAATTAAGAATGACATATATAACTGAGGTATTAAATCTTGTAGACTATAGCTGCTTTTGCAAGTAGCTTTATCTAGTAATGTGAGACTCTCATATAATAGCCTACCTGGAGTATTTGTAACCTAGCCCACTGGAGACATGTTTCACTGTGTTTTCAGAGTAAAGAAGAACGACAAGTGGAGCTGGAGACATTTAAGCTGCTTCATTTAAGACTTGCTGAGGTAAGACGATTTTGCCATTCATTATTTAGCTACAGGCTTAAAGATATAGCCCGTGGGAAGTCCTCCTCATTAATTTCTACCCTGTTCTATTTATATTTATTCCCGAATGTCTTTGGTGTGAATGACTTTTATCTGAATGAAATGCTGTTAGACCTGTATGTGAATATCTTTTTTTGGTGGCGAGGGATCACATTATTCTTTCTGTGCTCTTCATTTCAGTTCATGTCATCTAGAAATGAAGGCTCCCACTGTTAGATTACCCACAGACTGCACTGTGCACACAGTTGGCACACTGTCTGATAAAGACACCAAATGGCAGATGATGAGTGATTTCATCTACTTGCTTTGCTAATTGGATGTCCCCCAGGACACATGTTTCAGCTTTTTAGTTGCATGGCCACTTAATCGAAAGCTGTGTGTGTCTCTGTTAAATTATTGCTCAGGGCTAACATTCAAGCACATACCCATTTGGATGTTTGTAGGCAATAACATTAATACGTTATTGACAACAGCTGTGTTTTTCCTGCTATGACAACTAAAATACCTGCTGTGAGACAGATCTGTTATACAGTATAGTCTGTAATTATTGTACAAAAAATGAATGTAGCTAGTTTTCAGGTGGGCAGCCTTGTATTCACTTGCTTTGCAGCAGTTTTCGCTTTAACTGTTCATTATATTGCGTTCCTATAGAACAGGTTAGTAGTCCCTGATAATTCAAGACAGGATGTTATGATGTTGTAACTGTACAGGTTGTGGGATGAGGGTCTCTCAACAGTTAACGGATTGTAAGACACACTAGAATAAATCATTTATTAGGGAAGGTGGTTGGTCTCTATGTTCTTATCCACTCTAGAGTTGATGAACAAACCAGCTTCGCAAAAACTTGTGCACTGTGTAAAAACAGTTTTGCAGTTAAGCATCACTAAATGGTCATGATAGAGTAAGTAACTGAGTGTGTGAAACCACGGGTTACTGTAAATGTAGCATCTTTACCATTAGGAGTATTTTGTGAGAGGAGAGTTTAGATTTAGTGTTTGACATCATTTTGGTAGTTCTATGGAGCCAGAAAATCCAAACTGGGCTGTCACAGTAGTCGAACAGCTTGAATAATGAAACAAACAAGATGTTTGAGTTTGAAAGGTAAAATCAAACACTGACCTATCCATCCATCCATCCATTTTCCTCTGCTTATCCGGAACCGGGTCGCGGGGGCAGCAGTCTAAGCAAAGATGCCCAGACTTCCCTCTCTCCAGACACTTCCTCCAGCTCCTCCGGGGAAATGCCGAGGCGTTCCCAGGTCAGCTGAGAGACATAGTCCCTCCAGTGTGTCCTGGGTCTTCCCCGGGGCCTCCTCCCGGTGGGACATGCCCGGAGCACC